TTAGCTCTGTGGTCCAAAACACACTGCAGAAATAAACTACAATTCCCAGGATTCCCTAGCACTGAGCCAGGACAGTTAAAGTAGTCTCAAACTGGATGATTTCTGTAGTGTGTTTTGGACCTGTGTCAGTTTGCCATCCTACAATGAAGTGAAGGGAAGTTTAAGTCAGGTTGGGACTAGAAGAGTCTGGTCCAAACAAATTGGGGTGTCTTCTATCCAAAAAGATCCTTCTAATGCCTACATGCACAAACATAAAGGGGTGTGCCCAGTTTTACCAACACACTTGGGTGGACTTAAGTAAGGAGAAGTGAGTTGATTTAGAGCAAAATGACTATCTATAAAATAATTTTATAATCAGTGATGTTGGTATCACCCAGTGCGGTCCACACCCTGCACAACCCTTAGTGATGCCACAAGATTTGATATTTATACACTCCCTCGGAGAGTAGAGGAGTCTCCTTCCTTGGAGGTCTTTAAGCAAAGGCTGGATGGCCATCTGTCAGGGATGCTTTGAATGGGAGTTCCTGCATGGCAGGGGGTTGGACTGGATGGCCCTTGTGGTCTCTTCCAACTCTATGATTCTATGATTCTATATATTGTATTTGAAAGTGTATATGGTATACAAACTTTGTTATTAGCTTTCCTACTATGGGTGTTTCATCAAATACTCCATGTTTGTTGTTAATACAGCATTTTATTTTGTTCTTTCTTCTTCTTCTTTTTACAGTTTAAAATACCTTGACATCATCTAGAGTACTTTTTAATTTAGAAAGGGTAGGGTATAAATCATAACAAGAAATTAATTTAATAAAAAGAGTATTTCAACTATACAGGACATGTACAAGCTTTTTATGGTTGGAGCAACAAGAATAACATATGCTAAAAACTCATAGATGAAAAAAAATCAACTCATACCAACAGTGTGTTAAGGCATATAAACATTTATTGACTGTTGCTGTAAGAATTTCTTGCTTCAGAAAACCTTTTTTCTGTATTATGAGTTCAGTGACTTTTTTTTAAAAAAAATCTATTTTCTATTTTTTAAAATTTTGATTAAATTTAGCTGAAACAAGATATTTCCTTAGAAATTATTAATGTGCAACCTTATGAAAGTAATTATATTAGAGAACATACATCAAAATTAACTTTGCTATTGTTCTTGTTCAAGCTGGAATTAATCATTTTGTTTTGTTTTGTTTTGCTTTGTTCAAGTAATGGACATATGAATGATCACCCAGAGATACACACATAGAATCACAGACTTGGAAGGGACCCATGAATAATAATAATAATAATAATAATAATAATAATAATAAATTTATACCCCACTCTTCAGCCAAAAGGCTATCAGAGCGGCTTACAAATGGTTAATTAGACATTTCCCTGCCCTCAGGCTTACAATCTAAAAAGGCAAGACACAAAAGGAGAAGGGAATGGTGGTGGGGAACGGGAATAAGTCCAGCAGATCTTCTCTCCCTGTAAAGCAGGGGTCGGCAACCTACGGCCTGCAGGCCACATCTGGCCCGCCATCCCCTGCTGCCCC